TATTAGCATATGACATGCTGCAAAGCCTAATGAAAGATGTTTGGCCGTCACAGTTATTTAGCAGGCTGTTAAAGCGAGTTACTCTTTTTCATATCAGCATTCTCTTTGAGCTTTAATTGAAGAGTAATGCTATATGTACAAAATGGGATGATGCCATGTGACATGACATTAAATTATAAAGTAATAAAATGAGTTTCATATTCACACATTTAATTGATCTTATTATTTTACTACACATCACATGCCATATTACATGAGGATGATCCTCAATTTGTACATATGGCATTATTCTTCTAATAATTCTATAATATGTCTAAGATCCTTGTTGCACACGAACTTAAGCTATATTCTTTAAAGGGTTGTTTCTTCCTCGATCTTTACATGTGAAATCATTTGAGGGCACGAGGCTATGAACTGAAAATTATGTAAAAGCGTACATGAATAATGAATTTGGATCTTATATTTATAGACTTGAGTAGTATGCTCTTAGTAGGTTTAAACTAGTTGAGCACCCTTATATGATTTTAAGAGTCATAGGGTGCTAGGGAGTCTTACCATGTCTAGGAGTTGCTATTTGATAGGTTTCAAGCAACTAGTGTTTGGGTGAGGATGAAGCTCTGGTGGTCGAGTCTTACCATTATAGGACAAAAGAGATATAGTAAGATTCAACTTTATCAAATTTGGTTAAGCCTTACCTTAGAGAAGAGTCATATTGAATTATGTTGTTAGAAAAAGGTTAAGGTATAAGTCTGAGGATACCCAAAGCCCAATCCTTAAGCTAGTCTAGCTTCCGGAGTTAGGGCTGAGTGAGCCCTTGTGTGTGGGGGGGTGGGGGTGGGGGGCCACATACAGATGGGATATTTTTGTTTTCTTGCATAAAATAAAGGATCGAGATCGAATTTACCGAAGATGTGAAAGTCCTAAGCACAACCTCTGATTTTGGACGTGAGTGACTTCTCAGTACGAATTTGGTGTGATGTCCTTCCAGCCTGGATTTACGCAGAACATCGTGCCACCATGGGGATGCATGTTTGAAGAATCTTTCCAGGAAGGTGTAAAGAGATTAATCCCCCTTTGAGTCATTCTACATGCTAGGTTCTAAGCTAGGCCTATGCTTATCTTTCTTTTCTCTTTGGGCTTCTAGAAGCTAAAAAGGATATCCTGAGCAATTGCAATAGTCGGGTTCACAGGTTCTAAATTAGTGATACCAGCCCGCTTGTCCAAAGAAAGCCCCCTAGTTACAAATCCTTTCAATATGTTCTCTTTGCTTAGTCTGGCATTCCCAATCTCTTTCTTTTCCTTCCCAAGGAAAAGGTTGACAAGGTCTATTTTGTTTGTCCCCAAATGGTCAATGAAACATGCCCGAGGATAAACTCAAGGACACATACCCGAGTAGGTCGAGCCTACTTCCCATAAAATAGCCAATATGACTCCTGGGGTCAATGGTTTGGCTATAGAGAAGTACAAACTATATAACTTACATATTGATCGAAAAGGATTTGTTCTAAATCAACTTATAAAGGTTGGTATTCTATGTAGGTCAAAGGGTTAATTACTCCACCACTTAGGGTACACTGTTTGTCTTGATCGTGGAGATTGTCCATTTGAGAGTATTGACACTAAGACACTTGAATGTAAATTGGACTGGACCAAGTAAAGTTTTAATTAAATTATAGTGAAACGTGCTAAAGAACTCAATCACGGGTGATTGTCTCATGATTATCTAAATTCGTTACAAATTAATGATTGTTATATGTGAACTTATGGCTCTTTGATGTGCCAGTAGGTGAGATCATTAAGTAACGATGAAAATCGTGATGTGTAAGAAGATGTTAGAGATTAAAATAGTGACCACATATCCACTTTGAAATCTATCACCTTGTTCTATAGATAAGTGATCCACTTGGATATATTTCTTTAGAGAATATTTTGATTCTGAACTTAGTATATAGGAATTCTCAAATTTAATTTCTATAATTGCATCATGAAGAAACTATTTAAGAAAATGTGAACCACAAATGCAAGAATAATTAGAAAGACAAAACAGTCATTTGTCCTGATTTAATTATTCAACATCTAGCGAGGTTCAAGATAATATAAATTGCAGGGAAATAATTTATATTCCTTCCGTGATTTTTTTTAATATAATAGAAAGCAAAAACTAATAATTATATTGGACACTCTCGAGTTAGCTTGATTGGGTATAATTATTGTAGCACAAATTATAAGTCCAATTAAGTCCCTTCAATAGTTTCAACTTAATTGCTTTAGTTATATTAGTTCATGGACTACATGTGCAAAGCGGACTATATATATAACAGTTTTGTACCGCTGTACATATATATAGAGAGAGAGAGAGATGAAAATTTGAGGGTTGGAGGCTTAAAAAAAAAACGTGAATATAATTATTTAATAAAGATCTTGATCAAGTTTGGGGAAAAAAATAATTATTTAGAGCGAGAATGTTGTTTGTAAAGCACATGCATCAATTGAGTGTTTTTTATCCTTCCAAAGCTGTAACAACAATTCCTAACGAGAAGGTGCCAATATTTTGACTATACAATATGAGTTTAAAAGATTGGTGTAAAATTTTAGAAGTGTTATAAAATCTAATTTAGTATTGGTGACTATAAATAGGAGGTTCAAATGATTAAGCAATTTATACAACAAAAATATGAGTAAACAAAAATGAAACAAGAATTGAATAAAATGAATTACATTAAACGATTGCCCCAAGGCAATAAACCAAAATCCTTCGAGCTTCTATCACAGTATCCACAATGTGAAAAACAAAACCAAAGAGACCAAGGAATACAGATCAGTGCACTCAGATAGTAATCACTCAAGATCACAAGAAATCAACCTTACAATCACTACAAAATGTTCACTCAAGAACAAGTCAGAATATTTTTCGACATACAGTTCACTCTAGAAATGTTTTTCATCGAGAGACTCTCAAAAAAGATTGAAAGCCCATTTTTGGTTTTGAAAAGGAAAGAGACGAAATACTCAAGAGCCAAAGAGAGAGAGAGATCGAGATCTGTGTAATACTTTTAACCCTAGCAAAAGGCCTTAAATGAAAGTCACCAGAAGGTCAGTCAATCCAACGATAAGTGGGGTTGACAAATAGGAAGAACAGACCTTCATTCCATAAATAAAGATGCATTCTACAAAACACGTTTTTGCAAAATCTTTTCAACCAGGTTTTTAGAAACGACTTGAGTTTGCATCATTGTGCCACCCTTACAGTGCCAACAGAGAGTCTTGGATTAGTGAAGAAAGTCTAGATAAAGAATGTATCAATTTTTAGTTATCCAAAATAGGTTTATTTTGGTTATTTCATTTGGCCCCGTTTGGAAGCAATTTTTCGTCCAAAAAAATTAATTTTTTGACCATTATTTTAATCCTATCAAACTAATTTATAAACCATTTGGCAGCCAATTGGAGGCTAAAACATGCATTAATGTTGAACTCTTCTCAACTAACTTCTGAGATCTTTTGACATTCTTACAGTCGCAGAGTTACTTGTGGTCTCGTCGGAGTTTCGACTTCTAAATATTACTTCACCACTCTATTTTTTTATAATACTGATATGATCCCTGTGGTTTCCACCATCAACCATTTTTATGCTTGGAAATTGTTTAGTTAAGATCAAATTATCTTTCGAACACGCTTGTTGATATTTAAGTCTGTAGAATTTATGGTATAGATAGATCATTATCTCTTAATTGAGATAAATTAATGTTTGTTTTAGTTATTTCATTTAATTTCAATCTATCATAAAAAAGCAGTCATTTTTAACTAAGAGGGCAGTGTATGCAAAAACAATCACACATGCTTTCAACAAGCCTTCAAGACAATATTTGATTCGTATTGCCCCTTTACCCTAAGCTCAAAGCTCTACAATTGGCCCTTGTTTGATGGCCATTATAAAGAAAATTTGGGGAAAAAAATGATATTTTGGATAGTAATTTTTTGAAAGATGCGTGATTAAAAAGTATGAAAAAATTTTAGGTTTACATTTGATGCAAAATATTTTATTATGTAAATGTGCAGTTGAAAATGAGAATAAGAAATAAAGAATTTAAAAAAAAAAAAGTGAAAGAGGGGTTTAATTTCTACATGGATAATGCTATTTATAATGAAGACTATCGATAGTCGTCATACGTGACATACATATTGTTACTTAATGCATTAATGTGATAATTTTTTATTGTATCATACATCAAATAATAAATTGGCACATGTATGCCACGTAGAGCAACTACTAATAGTTCTTGTTATGAATAACATTGCTTTTTTTATATACACGTTAAGACATAATTAAAAAAACTAAAGAATATATACATATGATAAGGTTTTTCAATTTAAATCGAATATACTGAAAAACGTGATGACAGTATAAATGCTTTTAGAACAACTTCCTTAACATGTACATCAATCAACGGATCCTGAAATATGAATTTGGCTCTTGGGTAAGTGCAAGTGTACAAGCAGCCTTCCACCATGTATCCTTGGAGACATAACCTACGATTTACCTCTCTCACGATACTCCAGGACGGGGACGACGGAGGACCCTTAAGGTTGGGGTTCAACCTTTTTTTTTACATCAATCAACGGATCCAAAGTGAATAGTTTACCACGAAACAAAAACAAAAAATAGTCAAACGCGTACAGGACAAATATTTGCCCCATCCTTAAACCATGAAACGAATTTCGCCCACCGGAATTCCCCATCGCATCCTTTAAGCTACTGTATACCAGCTCAGTGGCTCAGCCGCTGCTCCATCCTCCTCCACCGTTACCTCTCCAGAAAAAGACTGAACTTTCTTTCACTGGTAACTCAAAAGAAAATGTCATCGGTTATATTCCTCTCAGTTCCAAGCAAAACCAGAACTTTTCTTTACCACTCCAAGTCCATTTCCACCATCACTTCACTACCCAGAAATTCATTTTCCCTCTCTTTAAAACACCGTTCTTTCTCTTCAATCCAAGAAGCTATGCCCAAAAAGGCTCCTACTTGTGTTAATGGGGGGTCTTTATTTGCTGTTGCATGTTCACCTTCATCACCTTTTGTAGGTAAAGTTGGAATGCAAAGAAGAGAAGGAAATTATTCATTGCTTTCGTTTGGTGTGAAGTCTGTGGACACCAAGGGTATTGTAACGGAAATGGGGGCAAAGGTTGATGCTTCACAAGATTTATCTGCAATGCTACCATTTGTGGTGGCTCTTACTGCTGTTGCTGCTCTTTCTCACCCTTCAACTTTCACTTGGTGAGTCGCTCTAGTGTGTGAAGTGAATTTCAGACTTCTTGCAGTTGATCTATTGAATTGGTAAAATTATCTTTCTTAATTAAAGTTTTTCTATATGTGGATTCTGAACTTGTGAAGGGATAAAATCCCACATCAATTAAAGATAAAAACATTGACCAATTTATAAGGGCATGTGCTACACTTCTTAATAAGGTTCGCTGTTTAAGATACAACTTCAAATTTTAATATGGTATTAAATCCCATTAACATTGAACAATCAATTCGATCCTACTAAAACTCACAAAATTAGCTCTTTTAATAATCTTAAACCTTTTAAAATAAAATAATAATTCTTGATATAGTATCAAAGCCCATTAACCTCAAATGAGCAATTGATCAGACTAAGGCTCAAAAAATTATTATGTAGATTTCAAGATTGATTTACGCAAACGAGTCATCATTTTGCTAGGGCATGCTGAGGAATAAAATCTCGTATCGAATAAAGAATAAAACATAAACCAATTTGGGCTTGAGTTACTCATCTAAATAAGGTTGACATTTTAAAATGGAACCCAAAATTCTAATTTAACTGCTTGCTTTGTTGGTTTTGTAATTGATAAACGTGCAGGGTGTCAAAGGAATTATATGCTCCAGCACTTGGAGGTATAATGTTTTCTATTGGAATTAAACTCTCCTTTGATGATTTTGCTCTTGCATATAAAAGGTAGCTTTTACTTTCCTTTTTTTCTATCTTTGTGAATTTTTCTATCTTTGTGAAATTCATCGTGTTAGTATTAGCATTTACATTTTCATGCCTGTTGAACTGACTCTCAAAAAATAATAAGCTTTTGATTTATGCAGACCTGTGCCATTATCTGTCGGCTTTATTGCACAGTATGTGCTGAAACCGGCACTTGGGGTGTTTGTAGCACGCTCATTTGAGATGTCACCGGTGTTCTATGCAGGTTTTGTTCTCATGTCTTGTGTTGCAGGAGCTCAGCTATCGAGCTACGCCAGTTTCTTGAGCAAAGGAGATGTGGCATTGAGCATTCTCTTGACCAGCTCGACTACCATTGCATCTGTTCTTGTTACTCCTTTCTTAACAGGCCTTCTCATTGGCTCTTTCATTCCAGTCGATGCAGTAGCTATGGCAAAATCAATTTTACAGGTTTTATTAAACGAAAATAGATCTGATACGTGGTTAATTTACTTTGTTTTGCTGTTGAATTTTCTGTTTTACCAGGTGGTTCTTGCTCCAGTGACTCTTGGCTTAGTGCTGAACGCTTATGCCAAACCAGTTGTATCTGTTATACAACCTGTGATGCCATTGGCTGCAATGTTTTGTACCTCAATGTGCATTGGAAGCCCTCTTGCTATAAATAGGAGCCAAATTCTTTCTGCTGAGGGTCTAAGATTGGTCTGCCCTGTATTGTCTTTTCATGTCGTGGCATTCATCTTGGGCTATTGGTTCTCAAAAATTCCCCCTTTGAGGTAGGATGTTCTGTCAACTCATGTTCCCTTTATTGTTGGCTGAGGTTTAGATCTAATTATTTTTTATTTATCGTACAACTTTAAAAGAATGCATGTTTAGTACATTGTAGGATGGCGAAATCAATCTTACAGAGACTTGCCATCTCTTTTAATTCCACGTGCTCGATCCACAATCAATACTTAAATGTTGAACCGTCTCATCTAAAGGATAAAACTTTTAGATGAGGTGTTTCAACATGGCACTAGAACTCTATTCATCAAATAAGGATATTATTGTAGCAGAGTCTATTCCTCAAGCTCCAGAGTCCTCTGTTGAAGAACTCAAACTTTCCTAAAGATGCAGCTTCCTTTTGCTGCTGTAAATCTTTGTAAGAGAGTTCCTGTTACAGCAGAGACCATTCAGATCAAGGAACAGTAGGTTCATATACAGCTTTGCAAGAAACAAAAATTTGAAGCAGTGAACTGAAAAGCTAATGGTCACTTGTACAATGTTGTTGTTCCTGCATTAACAGTACTTGCATTACTACTTATACTATAGAGAATAAGGGAAAAAAGGAAGAAAAAGAAATTATATAACTTGAGCCAGTAGTAGAACTCTGGTCAGTTTTACTTGCTGATTATCTTTCATAACACAGTAACCAACGATCTTTTTATGGTGATTTTGAGTCTTCAATTTGGAAATGTAAGTAGTAGAAGACATCTTTGATTTGCATGAACCAGCAACCAAAATTATAAATCTTAAATTGGATTAGCGGTTAGCTAAATTCTGTCATCATCATCTTAGACTTGAGTATTCAATGACTAATACACCTCAGGTGCAGATGTGTTGGTTGTTGAATTTGCTTTTCCTCCACTGCCAGCCTAAAACTTGCAAAAAGGACTTTCTTTCCCGTGGCCACTCCATTGTAAGAATCAAAAGCTTTAGAATATTTCATATGTAAATATGTGGAAATGACTGCTAGTAGTCCCCCATACCTGAGATGTTTGTTCTACAGTACATATTTCATCGAATTCTATGCTATTTTCTAAATTATTTGGCATTGGCGATACTACCTTTTCTGAAGGAGTTTGTTCTGCATATAGACCATGACGCCCTTAAATACATTGACACTCGAGATACAATTGCCCTACTACAAAACTTTTGTGATTCAAATAGTAGTATGAATTCAATTTTTTATTATATAATAGTTTTACTGAACTGATAAGTTTAAACAGTATAATATAATATTTAAACCATCTCGCAACTAAAGTTTTCAACATACATCACTATGTGCCTCTGTGCAATTGATCCAACATTCATCACTATGTCGCTCATGCAAATTGTTTAGAAGAACATTATATTGCTATTAGAGTATCTCCATTGGTGGTTTAAAATTGGGTATAAATTGGTATCTCCAAAATTAATTTTTCATCATTATTTATATTTAGATTTGCCCCAATGAGAAGATTGAAATCCACTTTCTGCCTTTTGTGCATATGAAAAAGATGTAAAAACTTCTGACTTCAATAAAATTTCGAATTCCAAAATTTTCCTTTGAACAAGTTTGGAAACCATGAGATACCTGAAATTACTTCTAAATCGGCCTTTATTTGTACCTAAATTCCCAAATCACATATTCACAATTCGTAACAGATTGTAGCAAGGCACAGAACAACTTTATCAAGTATAGAAACTGTAAATTATGCCCATATAGGAATTAAATTCAAGATTTTAATTTAAATTAAAGTTAACAATAGACAGCATACCTAGGGTCTATCCATACTAGGATGGATGGAGACTCATGGTGGACCTATTTTCGAGATGCACACTGTTATAGTGAACAAATTTTGGTTGTTTGGGAGTTTAGCTAAAAGTTGATTAAAATTTAAGTTAAAAATAATTAAATTTTAATCACTCATTTCATGAGACAACATTACAACCACACATTTAATGAGATTTTATGAAAATCAACTAAAATATGATTTTAGTCTTTAGATCAATTGAATTATTACTTATTAGGTGAATTCTTTGAAAATATTGGTCAACTGGTCAAATATTTTGGATATTTTGGGTGGATTAATTCTTTAAAAACGAAATTTTTGTATCTACGTCATTACGAAATAAATATTCAAGATTTATTATATGATTTTTATAATCCAAGTATCACTTTGTGATATGATTAATATTTTGGAAAATGCTACATACCCAATTTATATTCCATATATTCTTTGCAAGTGTACCCTAGTATTAAGTTGGTCATTTATTGTTGTTTCTAAACCATCTTCGAATACCAAAAAACTTCATTGACCAAACCGTAGCACATGCGTTTTGGGAAAAAAACAATCATCTCTCTCTTTCTCTCTCTTTAAATACATTCAGTATAAATGTTCCCTTGTTGCAGAAACACATAATTTTCTGTTTTACAACTTAATAATTTTCTGATTCACGACTTGATAATTTATCCAAATACACATAATTTGCAGAAACATATGTTCATATGCCATCTATTGTGATATATAAAATTTTGGTATGGTTATGTTACATGTAAATCAGGTTATACAAAAGAAATTACATAATGTCCACATGCCAGTTTATCATTTGACAGTTTAAATTACAACCAATTTTTTCATTCAATCTTTTCCCTCCACTCCATTTTCGATAAAACCGCTTATATATCATTTTTATGTACAAGCAGCAAAATCCATTTTGGTAAGTTGCATGTTTGTTGGCACATATATAGTTCACAATTGATTATTCAATATGAGTGAGGTGATTTACATTTTTTTATTTTTTTTTATTTTACTATATTTTTGCCAGTACATATTGAATAAAATTAATGACAAAGTAATTCGTGAAATTATATCAAATATTAGGTAATGGATGTAATTTCCTCTCAAACATTTGGGCCGAAATAACCCCGACATAATCACTAATTGAGCCACAACTACCTCGAATCTATTTGGATCTAACAATTGTTTAAACTCGAAATGCCAATCATTTGAGCCCAAATTAAAAGACATGTTGCATATAGGATGGGGAGTTGGCATGACATGAAAAGACATGTTCTACTTATAGATTTTTAAGAATAATTTTTGTGAAAAATATTTTTTTAAAAAAAACAAATTATATGTTTAAAAAGTAGATAAAAGTTGTGAATACACGATTAAAATTATTTTGTATGAGAATTTGATGTTAAAAATGAGTTTTATAAAAGAAAAATGCCTTCCTTCTAGAAAAAGGATGACAAAGACTTTGACCGCCTCTCACAAGCACTGGGCCCCGCATGAATAAACAGTTAGAAGAAAAAAGTGGTCCCACCCCCTATTGGGAGGGTCGGTTAGAGCTTCAGTCAGTTTTTTTCTAGCAGTGTAGCTCGATTATTTATAAAATATGTAACAAACAATGCATAGTTTTGTATCTTCAAATAAAATTATCCGAGACATAGAATTGATATTTCAAGGAATTGTCCATTATATACTTGGCGAGTTTTTTGTGAGTGAAATTTCAGCTGAGACCTCTAATTATAAAAATGTCTTCGTACGATGTAGTTGGTCATAGGAAAAAAATGTTTAAAAGATATAGCTCACGTAATAAGATAAATATAAGATTAATGAAGATCCACTCATATGCACATGTGAAGATGGTCCACATGTGCTTGCTTACAAGGACGGAGCCAGGATTTGAGTTTAGTGCGGGCAACTTTTTTCGACGCCGAATATCAAGGTTTTTCGTCATGGATTTTGTGAGGATAAAAAATTACTCCAATTTCACATTTCACCGAAGAAGTTTTTGGCTGCATAGAAGAAGTTAAATTCATTGATAGCACCACCATTTCGGTTGTCGACAACAACAGCTAGTCGGGCACATTTTCGCTTTGAGGTTGAATAGTGGCCAATTGGCGTTGCAAGGATCAGTGGAGTCGAAAATTGGAAGTTCTTCAACTTTGTCAGAATTGGATGGTAGAACTCTTCAAGGTATAATCTTGAATTATTTTATTTTATTTTTTCCCCGAAATATAATGATCTATAGTTTTCTTGTTTTCATATAACAATCTTGATCTCCTACCTCAGCGGGCAAGATAAAAATTGAGATTTTCATACCACATCAGCATTGTGAAGCTTTTATCCTCTCAATAAGTATATGGGATTAATTATATTTCATGTAAATGCTTGATGATGGTCACAATGTGTTGTCTCCAAGTCCTTAATAATTTTTTGGACCTTATAGTAGGATTATGTTGCACTTAAGAGATTTGCACTAGGTACTTAAGTTTGATTATTAATAATATTCAAGATAAAGAAAAATACATAATGCATAGGATTGGAGCAGATTTGATGAAATTAATAAGTGTTGTTATGGTTCTACGTGATTGGAAGATTCTCTACTACAAGCTTAAAGAAAAGTTCCGTAATGAATAACAAGGTTATAGTGATGATAAAAAATTACTCCAAATAATGAATTCACAGTGCAATACCAACATATACTATCAATCCAGTGCAATTCACATTTCACAATTTCACATAATCAATTCACCGTCCAACTCGCAATTTCACAATGCAATTCATAATATTTCCAAATCTTAAGTAATTTGAACTTACAATTTCACAGTCCACTGGAAGCCTGAAGTCTGCTGTCCGTGTCTCTTTGAGCAATCAAAGTCCAAAGTGCTAATTTCATTTCATATGTAAAAGACCAAAAAAAAATACATATATCATTACAATTTACAGAAATCGAAATAACAACAAATAAGGGAAAAAATTCAAAACCACTCTGAACACTGCCACACTGGTGGAAAATTGAAATTGGGACTTCACCTTCTCCTGGCTTCTTCTTTTGCTTGGCTTGCTGCCTTTAATTGCTGAAAAAATAGCGGGTTCCGGTTGGCGGTTTAAGGAGCGACAACAAGTCAGATGAGTGACTAGTCGACAGTCGACTAGAGTGGGAGATTAGAGCGCCTAAATTTTAGGAGATGCCAGCAGGGCCTACTACTAGCTAATAGCAAATGAGGGCGGACTGCAAGTGGTAGTGATCGACGTCGACGGAGACTAGAGAGGAAGTGGTGAGAGAGAGACATGACGAACGGACGAAGGGTTTTGATTTTTTCCGAATGGATGAATTATGAATGGAAAACGAGTTAATTGATTTTTTAGGGGAATGGGTTAGGGTCTGGGTAAGTAAATGGGTTATGGGCTGTGGGCAATTGGGCACTGGGCTTCTCTTTGGGTTGGAAGATAGTATGTGATTGTGACCTTAGTGTATAACTGAGAATTATAGATTATGTTATATAACTATGACATATGTAATTTCAATTATATATTCCAACATTTTATCAGGAGTCACATTTATGGTTTGTCAATCTTAAACATTTTGTTGCATTGAATTTTGTAATAACGAGGCCAAGATTGCATGCCTTCAAGCCCTCAAGGCCAATACCTATACAACAGGCCGCATCTTTAGCCCGGCCAAACCCAAGACCTCATTTACAACTTGATCAACCTCCTACTACTAAACGAACTTAAAAATCAATCACACGTTGAAGAACACAATTCATTCCTAAGCAAGATGTACTGAAAGTTGCTCGTTTCACAGCCTCCTAAAATGGTGCAGAGATGATGTCTGTTATCTCTAGAATTCTTAATTCATTAGCTGAAGTCTCAAGCTCTTCATCAGAATTCATCAGCTCATCAGATTCATCTCCCACGCTATTAGCAACTAGTTTTAAACCCTGCATCATAACCAAAGAATGTTACATGATCATCAATACATCAATTTAAAGACTTAATTGACTTATAAGCCAATATGATCCATGTAGAATAATGTACATTAATTCCTAAATGCAAAGTATATACAGAAATTAATAGAATCATACAATATGTGCACACTGAATTGAACTTATCTAATCCTCCCTACCCAATTTTAAGTATTGTTTATGATGAAGGCATTTTCACTCGTATGCTTCAATTTCGAGAAATATTCTTCTTCCCTAGCGGCAAAACTAACAAATATATTTTGCCCCAAACTTGACAAAAGAAAAGGAATTGAATCTGGCCTTTTTATCCTAGGTCCGGTATTGATAACCTTTACATAGCCAAGAAAATCGGTCCAATAAGAGCTTCTTCAACATGACTGTATGGTTGTAGAGTTCAGGCTAATAAATAAATAAGCAAAATCTCTGGGCTGGTGCCCGCACTCGACCTAATGGGGCTTCACCCCTGCTTGCTTACAATCTGGACCGGCGATGCATGAGCTCGAATGAATGATGATGAACAAGCTCTAAAGAGTTCTATGAGTATAATTATCATAATTGAGATTGTACAGTCTAAGAGCATGTTTGGTACAGTTTAAAACTCAATTAAAATTAATTTTTTGACCGTTATTTCACTATTGCAGCCGTCATTTTTTAATTCTTCTCTCCTATATAGGACTCACTTTATCTTTAACGGTCAAAAAATCAATTAACAAAATCCCTACCAAACAAGTACTAAATTTGATGCGGTTAATAATCTAACATTAGTAAGATCCATGATTGGAATTTAACTTTGAAAATGACTTCTAATTCATTTAAAATATAAACTTAGTTCTTATGATTATCATTAATTATAGAAGTTTTGGAAATTTCAAAGAGTCGAGTCGAGTCAAAGTTGAAATAGTTGAACTAGAACTACTCTCTGTTTTTTACTGGGAAATTACTATTTAAAATATTTTTTTTGTCTCTTTATTAACCATTCAAATTTCTTGGTAACCATGGTTCTTGCAATAAATATCCGGTTGTTTAGTTGGAGAAAACAAACAAACGAACGGCTTTAAATAATCGGTAGTTGAAATGGCAAGTCACCAAAAAGTCATTAATATTTCTCCTTTATATTGCTTCCAAGAGAAGAAAAAAGGATTTTCTAGAAGCATAAAATTGCCAAAATCTTTAATAATGGGGGCGGGGAAGTTACTCGACATAATGGAATGGGGCAGTTCAGTTCAGTGCCAATAATTAGAAATAATGATAGAAGCATGAAGAGCAAAATTTTTAGGTACATTTCACAACCTTCAAATCTCAAATTAAGGGTCCGTTTGATTCTTATTTTTCTAATAATAAAAATGAAAATATAGTCATTATGGGATCTATATAAGAGATAAAAAGTCAAACGTGATGGCTTGATGTGATGGATAACGATCATATTTTTCATTTTTGTAATCAAAGAATAAGAATCAAACGGGGCTAAGATAAAAAATATTGAGGATTCAATATATTTAGAAGTGTAATTTTATCTTAAAATTATATTTCTAGCTTCCCCTAATTTTGAATGAATAAATACCCATCTAGATACATAAATTAGGTCCAAAATAGAGTTCAAGATGATTGGGATCCATAATTCTAGTCCCAATAAAATATCTCAAATTGCTGGAATTTATTTTTTCCTTGTGCAATTTGGTCTCTATTAGTTTTTTAGTTCAGATTGAGTCCTTAAATATTGCAACGAGGTCTTTCAACTTCTAAATGTGACTCAACGGGGTGGAATAGTATTTTTTTGAAAAATGAGTGATTGAAAAAGAAGGAAAAGTTTTTGATTACGTGTAATATTATTTTATAGAAGATTGTGTAGTTGAAAATAGAAGAGAAAAAAAAATAGAATTTAATGGAGATCAAACGGGGGCTTAGACACGTTTATTTGTACTGAATTGTTAAGATTTCATCGAGGGACACCAAAAGTGGGAAGAATTAAATCACAAAGAATAAGATATTTAGCGTTAGTGCACATTTGTACTAAGTTATATGTCCAGTTAAATGTAGAAAAATAAAACTCATTTAAATAGGTCTATTATTTAGCATCATTTAATGTCACATAAACCGATAATTTAGCACAAATGGTACTAAATAATATTACCCACTAACAAATTAAGACCTTGTTTGACGGAGTTTAAAAAGTAGCTTATTTAGCTATATTCTAAGCTTGAAAAGTGAAATTCTCAATAACATATAATTACAACTGGCTCATCCCTAATGTAACTGTGACATTGCCAAAGGTTCAATTTGCTCTTATTTGTGATTCCATTTTTTACTTTGATTTACATTTTGAAAAGATGCAAGTGTCCTAATAGTTTGTGCATATATGTAATTTCCCCCATAGGTTTGTACAATGTCATTTTCAATATTTCTACGTGTCTGAGAAAGAAGTGGCAAAATTTTTGAATAGTATAACAAATTTTATTGACAAATGGGACCCACACACAATCCAAAGAAAAAATGATTTTTTTTTTTTTTAAATTTTACCACATCACATAAAAGCTGAATAATGTTATCTAACTCTAGTGATGATTGAACACGAGTCAAAATAAAAGAACATGACCAGTGTTCTAGCACGAGGAGCTTTGGTATCATTATTCTAACAAATTGCGCTATTAGTTTGAGCATAATTTTTTTTTTTTAACCCTTTTAGTTCATAAAAATTAGCCTATATATATAGATTTTTATTTTTATTTTTATTTTTTTTATATCTAGGTATCCACCTTACAGTGACTAAATCCTGGAGTCTACACCTTGGCCCCTCAAGCTGCAAACAGGTTAAACTGCAGGTTGTACCCTAAACTGACCAGTACTCAAGAGCCCCCCAACTGATTTGCAAAAGTGTCAAGCAAGTCGTTTCCCATCTTTGCACCTTACTTTTCAGTAGAGCTCTTGCCTTTCAGGATAAATCCTGCCTTCCAGGAGAATATCTGCCTTCCAAGAGTCTTTCAGGAATCGAACTCACGACCTCTGATCTGCCAGTCTTGAAGCGCTCTCATCTTTGCCAGTTGGGATGTGCCCTGAGGGGCTCATTAAGGACAATCATTGATAGGATTTTTGAAGGTCCATGGTTCGTATACATATCGTATTGAGAGGCCCCTTATATATATTATGTTCAAAGTGTAGTATCTTGAGTCTCGATAGGAAATAAATGATATATTGCCATTTTTTGAGTCTCGATAGGCTTTTTTTAACCCTTTTAGTTCATAAAAATTAGCCTATATATATAGATTTTTATTTTTATTTTTTTTTTTTGGATATCCAGGTATCCACCTTACAGTGACTAAATCCTAGAGTTTACACATTGGCCCCTCAAGCTGCAGACATGTTAAACTGCAGGTTGTGTCCCAAACTGACCAGTGCTCAAGAGCCCCCCTAACTGATCTGCAAAAGTGTCAAGCAAGTCGTTTCCCATCTTTGCACCTTGCCTTCCAGTAGAGTTCTTGCCTTTCAAGATAAATCCTGTCTTCCAGGAGAATATCTGCCTTCCAGAAATCGAACTCACGACCTCTGATCTGCCAGTCTTGAAGCGTCTTCATCTTTGTCAGTTGGAATGTGCTCTGAGGGACAAATTAGCCTATATTTTTTTCCACTACATAAAATAGCTCAAAAATGAAAATTTCATGTATAACTCAACTTTAAATTTAAAATACCGTTCTAGTTTCAACACAACAACTGAAGAAAATATTATCGTCAACAAGATTTGAACTCTTCTTCCGTCAAATATGTCCTGTAAACTATGTCAATATTTTTGACAGTTTTTCTTTTGCCGTTGTAAGAAGGAAATTGTGACAAAGCTTTTTCACCTTGAATCTCAACGACTCCATCATCCTTAAATTCCTCTCCCAAATAATTTAAATAAAAAAGCATGCTTCCTTTGTCCTTCAACTTATTTGTAAACTTTGAAAAACACACTCCAAAAGAAGTCAAAATTGTCGTTCAAACTACAGCTTCTTTAAATGACCAGTAAAACCATCTTGTCAATTTCATCAATGCTGGTCTACAAACACCATATTTAATCTTCTTATCCCATCTCTACGACAACCATAACCTGGATCTTGAATAATGGATTTGATGGAAACCATGGCCGTTGATCATGTGATCATCACAGATAACCCAAGTCCAAGAATCTCATTTTCTGATGAAGTTGCAATGTTTAAAGACACCCCATATCGCTCAGATTCTGCACAGTTTGACTCAGCTTCTGATTTTGATTTCTGTAATACCAGTAATGGAACTTGTTTAGCTGATGAGCTATTTTCAGATGGCCTAATTCTACCTCTCCAACTTCAAGAAAAGTTTGTTAATTCCAAACAACTTTCGACGTCTAAGCCTCCACCGCCATTTCCTCCAACAAATCAGAATTTAAAGCAGGAAAGCATTGATCAAAAGCCTCAATCAAAGTCACCTTTCTGGCATTTGAAGAGAAGTAGTAGCCTTCATTGTGATGACAATTCCAAGAAAAGTTCGATTTGGTCTTCGTTATCGCGTAGTAATTCAACAGGCTCTGTCCCCAATTCGAAGAAGCTGTCCAAGAATTCTTCTGCAAAAGTTGGTTCACAAAAGCCACCGTTGAGGAAAAATCCTAGAGGGCCCTATGGTACTGGTGTTCAGATTAGTCCAGTACTGAATGGACCACCTCCTTATATTATGTCTGTGAGTACTGGTAATCTCTTTGGTCTGGGGACATTGTTTCGCAATGGAAAAGGCAAGAACATCAAGAAATGATCTTCATGTAATTGACCATCGTTAATTAGGATACTTGGAATTTTATGTAAGATATCGTGTCCAACAACAAATGAAGCCTTTGGGGTCGGCTGAAAGAATTCCTGTTCATCACTTTCTTTCTGTTCGTTGTTCGATCTAGAGGGAGACCTAAGGCATATCGTGTATGTAAATCATTATGAAGAATTATTGACTAAGAAATGGTAGAATTAGATTAGATGTATAATAGAAGGGATAAGGAAAGAGAAGGATAATCAGAATTTATGGAGAGTTTTGTGAATTTTCATGTTGATGCATATCAACATGTCACTAGCTGAGGAGACATAAAAAAAACAGCTAACCTTGTTCATGCTTGTCCGTTTCGGTTCTTCTTTAAGCTTTTTGTTTTATGCTTACCTGCTTTGTTTAGATTTTTCTTTGGATTTTCATGGTACTAAATGTGATTTTTCAGGGTTTTTTATTTTTTCCTGCCATGATTTGTAGCAGCAGCAGTATTTTCATTAACATATGTAACTAATCTACTGCTGCTATGTATTGAGCATTCCAAGTTTCTCTACTACTTGACTTTTTTATAATTATATGGGGCTTAGAGGGAATTGAGTAGGCACTTCATGACGATTGGTAAATAAGATTGGACGTGAAGAAAGAAGAAAGATGTTTAACAAAGTTCGTCCGAATATCGTGTTTGATAATGCAAACCAGTAGATTGCATACCATGCCAAGATTTATCCAGCTTAACGGAATACTATTGTCATTTACTTTTGACATGTTTAATAAAGCGGATTAGATAACTCTTGATATCTTATTAGAAATTAAAATCTTCTTCTTTGTAATTATGGATATTAAAAAACCCTTTTGTCGATGCCCAAGTCAGACAAAGTCGAGCATAAATAGTACAAGAAATAATATAGAAATTTAGGATGGTCATAAATTAGTTGCCTGTAAAATATAAACGGATCACTTCCAACCCCGGTCCTAAATGGAAGCTGGCTCGGTCCGGTTCTTGTAAAATTGCTCTGAACATAGTAAACATGCCTCAGCTCTCTTCTGATCTGGGCAACAGTAACCAGTTCTGTTTTTCCTTATAAATTTTTTCTTCTTAAAAAAAATATCTTCAACACTTACATAAGCAGCAACATGATGCAACAAAAATTCCATCAATGGGAAAGAAATGACTTGAGAGAATATTCACAGGCTCACAGCAATTAAATTAGAAAGTAACATGATCTCATCTGGAATATTTCAACCCTATTTCCAGTCTGTCATTTATACAGGAGGGAAAATGTATGGAATTTGAATGCATTAAAAATTCTTTTTCCACTGGATCATTTACATAAAATAATTAAAATCCTAAAGATAATTTTTGTGAATCAATTGTTATCAAGAACAAATGAACTGTCTACCATTGTAAATTTCGCCAACTTTACAACAAAAAGTTCACCTCTATAACTTCTGCTGCTTCATGCCTGGTACATCTCATCTAGCAGAACTTAATTGCCTAATACAACAGCCAGTGCACTTCACAGGGGGCAAAAAGGTCTAACACACAAGAATTCTGGAGAATAACAATGCCTACAAAGATTCATTGGCAATATTTTAATCTTTAAAAAAATTAATGGGTTGCATAATGAAAATTATGACCTAAAATGAAATGGCATTACCACATATAATTTTTGTACATGCCGAAACTTTACATGGGCTATAAACAGTTTTATGACTTTTGTACTTCAGTTTCAAATTCTCTTACATTGCCAACAACTTCTTGGATTTTTGACGAGAGAAGTTCTGTTTGCTCCTCAACATTTTTCAATAGTGTAATTAGCTGCTCTCGGTAAAGAGCACATAACTTATCCTGATGTTCCAACTCCAATGTTAATACTTGTATTCTCCTGTCCTTGTGATCCTACAAAAGGAAATCCCCAATCATCACAAAAATTGCATAAGAAATAAGATTTACAAAAAATAAATAAATAAATAAATTAAATAAAAGAGAGAAGAAAAGGCAAAAATGGAAATGGGGATGCATGCTGTATAGGACTCGCCAATTCCAAAATGAAGAGGAAATACATTAATGTGTGACACGTGATACCTTGACTCAATTAAGGCATCTTCACGCTGGCACAGTTCTGAAACTTGACATATTCCCCTCATTGTTTAAGAATAAAATAATGCCCCCTCCCAAAGTCGTTTTATCAGCAAGAATGCAATAGAGGACGAAAGAGAACTTCCAAACAAGATAGCCAAAGGTGGGCTAGGACGAATTTTCATACTAACCACAGTGTAGAACCACTTATCGGCTTCCAAGAATTATGCTTTTTCTGAGGATCATGTATCAGATATTTTGGACCATTAAGTATGTTTCAATTACAATCTAAGTGAACAAGTTCATTGTCAAAGGATAGATTCTTCATTTACAACAGTATGCTTTCACACACCCAGCAACAAGCTTAGACTCGGTGATTTTATGCTTGTTTTTACAATGGGAAAGGAGTCCCAACAGCACTTGACAATATGGACAGTTGAGGATTGCACCCATGAACTAGCTTGGACTTGGTGAGTTTTATGCTTGCTTTCACAATGGCAAAGAAGCCTACATTATGAACGTGTGAAGATTGACACATCTTTAAATCTGGAAGAACTGGAGCATATCTTCCCAAAACTCATCAGTTCAGCTTACCTCCACCCCCAACTAGGTAGAGGCTTGACTGACATACTTCAGGATATGGGTGAACTAAACTAGGTCTCATCCCAATTCGATATCTCCACATCCATTTTCTAAGATGAATAGCCAAGTGCATTGAAGTGATAATTCCAGGAATTCAAGATTAAGATGATAAGTGTACAAAGTAATTTCATCTTTATGCAGTACTACATGACCTCCCTAAGCTATTATAGAGTGGTTGTCATCGGCCAAAATTTCTACACAGCAAAATGCTGCCATTGAAAGAGAGAAAGAAGTGCAAAGAACAGGAAGTAAACACAGAAAGTGTGGAAGGAAGAAACAAAATAAAGATAAAAAAGTATAAGATGGTAAACAGAGAAGCACATGTATGTCAAAACAATTTGGAGACCTATTTAAATCCCTATAGTTGTGACACAAAGGCATGATGGCAGATACTACGATACTTTTCCTAATAGGCCAGCAAAAATCCAAGTGAAATGATGTATAATTTAAAGTTTAAACATTTTAACTTGGGAAATCAAACAAACCTCCCTAGCTTCAGTGATTATCATCAAGGCACACTTGTATAATCTTAGCAACACACATTGGAAATAAACCGTATTGATGATACATTTCATACTACTTACAGTTGGCAAATAAAATATCCTTGACTTGGTTGTTTGACCTCTACAAAAATGACAACTCACCATTTGATTACGAGATGGACGACCAGAAACAACAAGTGGATGAGTATGTTCCTTTACAAATCTTGAAACAACCCACTTGCCAGCCTTGTCAACCTTTACCAACATCATTGCCTTGCAACCCTCTCGTGAGCTGCCGCGTGGCTTTTTAACCGGTCCATATTGTTGTCTCAGTTTGGCATTGTAACCTTGCTTATTACAAGATAATCTTCGGGAAAGAATTCTCTTATCCACCTCCGAACGCCGGCACTGATCAATACGCATTATAAACCCCAAACGCCTAGCATACTCATCATAAAATTCCTTGGCTGCATCTTCAGAGTCAAATTCCATACCTATACATGGTTCTTGAACAGAATTTTCTTCTGATGCAATATATTCCCTTTCGGCAAAACTGTCCACTGTAATAGCTCCAGAATGTGAGTCCACTGCCAAAAATGCCATGATTCAGTATCTGACAATCACACTAGGGTACATCTCACTTTCTCCAATAAGTAATTACTTGTGGGCATAAAAACTTGCACACATCAGATGCAATCAAAAAAGGGTTTCAGCCAAAGAATCTTCCTAAAATGACGACTTTTACTCGTTTGCTCTATTTTTCATTTGTAAATCAGGCATGGATTACATGCTTACATATCATAGTAAAGTGGCCATAATGGGAGCCAAAATGTCGAATCCCATTATTTGATATATATGGACCTATATCTTTATCAATCATGCATGCACACGCACAATCATACATGCACCATTTCCTAGTCCTAATATCAAACATCTAGCCATTGAGTATTAATAAGCTAGTTCAACTTTTAGGACTCCACTTTTCCCTCACTTTATTCTAATCGTAGTGAAGCTCATATGACACCCACCCCTGCTTCGTCCCCCCACATCATATCAAAATGCATACTTATACACACATTGATGTATGTACATCCACGTGCGATTTTGTATGCTGTCAAATTACTAACATTATATGATTTACTTTAAAGATGCAATATTTTATAATTGATGGCTAAGGCTAATTACCAAATAATCTAAAGATGCAATTCTTATAAGATCATACACTATCTCACTTATTAAAATGCGTCCACTCTTTGAAGTTCTTCAATCTTCAAGAATCACACTACCAATCTCACAAATATTGCAAGAAGGCTTTACCGAGCTCAATTGCATCTTGAGATCAAAAAGTCTACAGAATTTTTCCTTCGCATTTGGTTAGTGCTCAAATTCAAGAAACAATAAGTAAATTTACAGTAGCAATCAATTGATTAAACATCTCACAACCCCAATAAAATGTAAGATAAATTACCCAAAAATATTGTCGACGTAAATTGCTTAGTAGTTTTGGAAACTAGAAAAATAAACATTACAAATTGACAAATTAGCTTCATAAATCAGTTAAAAATGAAAAACTTACTAAATTTAATATGGCAAGATCATCTATTCACGTTGGTTGCTGATGAATCTTTCAATTGAACATGACCAAACAAAAGGGTTTATCGTCGTTTGATTTTCAGAGGTGGGTTTGTTTTAGTTTTCTTTCTCCCCAAATATTTGCTGTTATTGCGGGATTTTACGTACAGTATCTGCTCTACTCCGTGTCCGTTTCTTACTAAAATCGCGTCGACAACAGATGGATCATAGAAAAACGTGTACTGAGCCTTTTTGGACTTTTTTGGGACTTTACAGAGGTAATCGTTAACATTGATAAAAAGGGAACGGGAAAATTTCGTATTTATATCATTACATGAAAATATTTCATAATTCATATGTTACATTTAAAAAAACCAAAAATACTTGATTACATATTTAATATATTAATATATACTAACTTCCTAAATTATACCTATTTCCATAAATATACCAGCTATTTCATTTTATAACCAACAATTTTTGAATCCCCCCGTTTTCAAGTTTCTCCATTAATGCATTTCCTAAATCAAAAGATGAATTTTAAAAAATTGATGATGGGCAAAAACAATCAATGTCATTGGTTGAACAATCAAAATGTAGCCTCTTCTACAATGTAGATCTCGTCTACGTTGGAAGGGGCAAAGGCGGATCCAAGATTAAATTCAAGACTGGGCTATAAAATTTCAAGCCGGTCTGACATCTTGTAATGTCTTACGATTTGATGCAATTCGTAGTGAATGTTTTAATATTTCAGGTGATAAACACACCGAACCTCCTTATTTTTGCGTCCAAGAACGCATTGATTGTGTTTTTTAACAAATTTGTCATCTGGTATTTCGGTTGTTCGTTTTTGACACTTGATTACATTTATCAATTTTGTTGGTTTCATACTTTCGATTATTCATGTGATTGTGTATTTTATCGGTTAATCGATTAACATATCACATTGATTCAATGTAATGCTTGACGAATTTCCGTTTCCCAATCACATTTCTTGCATTGGAAGATCATAAATTGATATCGTAATATGTGACTTTTTTGGTTTAGCTTGAATGTTGAATAATAATCGACCAATTACGTTTGTGAATTAGTGGTTGCATGTTAAGAAATACAAAGTAGTTCACGTTAATTCCATACTTTGATTTGTGATTTGGCGATACTCTCATCACCAGTTATGCATCTCTTGTATAATGTCTTAAATTCATCACCATTTGTGCGTCTTACATTCAGTTGGAAAGCATAGATATGCATTTATGTGAAGCGGAAATGTACATATGCATCAATATTTGTATTATTACAAATTTAATACGTATACTAAATCCAACCTTTATTATGTATTACACATAATGTACGAGACAGATGCCTTTGGATTTCTCCTTCCTTTTGGTTGCAAGTACATTGATCTGATTGATATGATAACAGATGAAATAAATGATAACAAGAGAGTTCAAGGTTAAAGATTGAATACATTGCTGATGTAGTATATATTTCTCCTAAATAACAAATAACAACTCTGTACATTTCTATTTGGAGCTTAAGCGTAGGGATGCACACACGGCCGCCTATGCATTAAGTGTCAAAGTGGTTGAGATCTTGCCAAATACACTTATGGAATATAGATTGAACACAACAAAATTGTGATGTGAATTAACATCGGTACATATTCTACATTCTGATATTTCAACCCAAATTCCAACTTTGTATTGACATGTCACTAATTGATGGGGTTTCGCATCAACATGTTTTAGCCGTAATCGAGCATACGGGAGAGTAACTTTTTACAATGTTCATGATACCACACTAAGGAGTCTTATATTGAGGCAACAGAGTAGACTTAAGAAGACAAGGAGACGATCGATGCGGAGTCCTTCCACCCAACCAAGTATGAAAGGTGTAAACGTCCTCTGCTATTGAGTCAAGTACGAAAATTTAAACGAAGTTCAGTTGTATAATGATGAAGTTAAATGTTTGATGTCATATTCTAGTCCTGTGGTTCAACCACTTGAACAAATGATTTCTTTGAAGTCAATTCATGTAATATCTTTATATCTTGAGATTTAAGTAAACATCCCTTTGCATAGAGCCAAGCTCTCGGGGGCAAGTTCGGCTCGGCCCACGAGCTCGTGAGCTCACGAACCACGAGCTCGCGGGCCGAGCCGAGCCATGAGCTGCTTGCAAGCTCGTGATTTTTTTTAATTTTTTTTTGGTAAATCTGCACATTTTTTTTACCTTTTTTGTAATTTTCATATTTTTTGACGAGCTTGGTTCGTGGGCTCAACTCGTGGGATTGAGCCCCCTACTTGGTTCGGGCTCAAGCTCATCAAATCTGCCCACGAGCCAGGTTTTAATAAGCCGAGCGGTCGAGCCAACGAGCCGCTCGGCATGTTTGACATCCCTAGTAATAAGTATTACGTGCTAATGTAACTTAACAGTTTGCTAAGCCTCATGGCATGTGAACATTTCATGCTCATTGGAAATTTAATTGGAATGTACTGATTTGTTGGAAAGTTTATAGATTATTTTGGTTTCTAATTCATGATATGAAATATATTTTATAGTTTATCAGATAGAGGTGACCAGTACCTCCCCAATTTATGTGATGTGAGTTTGTTCCATATCTAGGTACATGAGTTAAGGTATTTTCTTTGGAATGTGACATATGCCTCAGTTTCCTTTAATTCGGCAAAATCCAGGCAATCCACATTACGGTCTGACAAATAAATCACCGCAGATAGCTTGCAAAGACAACATGATGTTGATATTTGATTTGTGCTCAGAAATTATAGAAAGAAAAGGGAGCATCAAATGATCCCAAAACACTAAAGCTAATATCTCAGAGTATCCAACTTGCAAACGAAAAATAAAAAATAAAAATAAATAAGGTTGAACTCCAACTTTGAGGGCCCCCACGGCCCAGCCCTTAGAGCATCGTGAGGGAGGTACATCGCGGGATGTGTCACAGCAGGCCAGGGAATAAGAGCTTACCTGTACACTGGTGCCCACAAAGAGTCCAATTTCATATCTCAGGAATCGAACTCTCACACTGCGACTGTCAGTAAGATTGAGACTATTTCACTCTTGTCTTTTGCACCACTGGGTTATGCCCCGAGGGCTTTGCAAATGGTGTTTATGTAAGTTGGGGTAGGCATAAACAGGCAACAATAGAAATTGACACAAATAATGGGTGAAAAATACAGATTTATAATGAGCTTAGCTAATTTTTTTTTTCTCAAATAAATTTGAAGGCATTTCTTATGAACGTCGACCTCATTTGGCAAATACACTGATAAGGGATGCATTGATATAGTTGTGATGCAACAAGCCAACTACCAACCACCACAACTTCATCAATAACACTGCCATGGAGTACCCATACAAGAGCAATTGGTTGGTTTGTGCGATAATGCTAAGGATTGTGAGGTGCATGAGATTTGTGTGCAGATCAATTTGTGATATATGCTTTTGCGATTTGTAGGTGAGTAATTCTCGATGGAGTTGATTTGGGAGGAAGGATGAAGATGAAGATGAAGATGAAGATGAAGACACTCAGGGGGTTTGTTTGTTAGAGTAAATTTAGCTATCTTAATTATATGCCTATATGATTTGATAGTTTTCTTGTTTGGTGTTTACTAAAATTTTGAAATTTTTATGCAGAAAAAAATCACAATGTAATGTTTAAATATTTATGAAAAAACAGGGGTGTGGTATAATTCCCACAAAAAGAAAAAAGAGGAAAAAAAAAAAAAAGGGTAAACGTTTTACATTTTTTATTCGTGTTCAAGATTCAACTTTAAATTATTTTAATTAAATTTAATATTTCTATCAGTATACTTCTACGAAAATTTTCTTAGCCAAACATGCTATTGACATGTGCAATACTATGCATAATCTCCAAACTTTTTACTGAAGAAAATGCTTACTGGACTTTTAGTATAATCTAGGATCTCTCAATGAACCTTTATATAAAGCTATACTTCAAAGTTATAAACATCCAGAGCTTTCATAAAGCAAGAATAAACTTCAACCTCCTTAATCCAATAATATTCTCATATGGTTCTCTGATATTTAACTTATTTTCCTCCTCCTTAATTGTTGACAAGTTTTAATTTTAAAAAAAATGTTAATTAATCAATATTCCACAATTAAATCAACCAACAAAACTAAAATTAAAAGCAAAATGTGTAGTAAAAATATGGTTATCACTTGTCAAGACCCATCCATTCTTCCAATTACGGGTCGGTTGGCACTTGGCAGACTTTTATTTTTGCTTCCATTTTCTATAGAAAAATTTCATGAGAATATTATCTTAAAACCCACTTTCTCTAATAACTCTTTTAATCAAATACATTTTTTCTAAAAAATTATCAAATATATTCAAAACTAACTTAACCCAAAAGAAACTTGAAAAATGCCTAATGTACAGGCCTTGTGTTCACTGGGCCTGTATAGGCCCCCTCACATGCTGTGTGAGGGATTGGGGGATTATTTAAAAAAAAATTACCCACCCACCCCCCGTTATAATGTGTGTAACCTGTATAGGACACAAGGCCTGTACAGCCATCATTGTTCGAGAAACTTTTCACTTTTCAAAAGTTATGTCAAATGACCCTAGTATTAACAATGCTGAGAATTATATCTAGAGGCATGCTTAGCTCATTCTCAATTCTCTTCTTAGTCATTAAATTTGTGGTTACTTTAATACCTCATTTTCAATTTTCATAATATATTTATTTATAAGATTCCTAAAGATCGGTGGCACCTAAAGCAGTGTTTAAGAAAATCTAAACGAAGATATTACTCCTGAATGAGAAACTAATCCAATTCGTAATTGTTGATGTTTATAACTATCGATCAGAAATGCTCCCAAAAAGTACCGACACATTCTAGGCTAAACATGAAGTGCATTTCTCAAAATAGTAGCACGTGTGAAAGTTCTCAACGAGGTTAGTTGGGTCGTTAAAAATTGGCTACGGTTCATTTGTACAGGTACAACATAAAGACTAAATTTGACGACCAACAGAAACTTGTGACGTGTTTGGCTCGTTAAGTTGAGAAGCTCAGTTCATCTAATCATCGGCTTTGCACAATCTTGTTTTTGCTTGTCAACCCAAAGCCAACTGGAAATAGAGGATCATAGGAGTCATCTTCAGAATGCATAGGCAGTTGGTCGACACTTTTAAACCATGTCACAGGAAGCTGTCCCTGGAACTCGTGATCTCCAAAGATAACATCGGCAATTCCACCTCCTTCACTTCCGGGTAACCATGCAGCAACCAGAGCATCTATATTGTCAAAATGGCGTTGCTCTAAGGCCAAAGGCCTCCCCGATATCAAGATAACTAATGTTGGAACTTCTTCAGCAACTGCGCCTATTAGTCCAGCTCCATTAAAATGAATTGTTAGCTCTGAACTGTCACCACCAGTTTCCACGTATGGACCTTCTCCCACAACTACAATAGCAAAAGAGTAATCCTGACCTGCTATGGTGTTTGGTGATGGATTTTGCTCATATATCACTTCTGTTCTCTGTCCAACGACTTCTTTGATAGCTTCCAAAACGGTAGTGCCTGTTATAGCAAAACTGATCCCATAAATTCTCTAATACTCAAACTCAAGAGAAAGAAGAAAGAAAAGATGATTGAACTTGAAGTTGAATTATAATCAAGTGTTGAGCTGAAGAGAGCAATTTATTCCTTTAAATCTCAGCAGTAATAGTGTATTAGTTTCAAATGCAAAAAATATTTCATAGCTCGATTACAATGATGAGACAGTAAACAACTAATGAGGGCAAGTATTTTTCATGCTTTCAACAAAATCAGCGTAAACTATGGGTGAGATTAGGAGTAGCAATTTGCAACACAACCCCCTGACTCACTATGAACACAATACATTTATAGAGTTAAGGATAGACTGGAAACGTTTTCTTCTGACAAATAGGCAAACCATTTAAATAATACAAAATCGCTTGTCAACACATGAAAACTCAAATATCATGTGTCATAACACCCCATGTTATACTAGATAGACACGCACACATTGCATTCTAAGTAATTTTATTTTATTTGGGATGTAGGTATTTTGGTAAGTTGTGCTACAATTTGTCAATTTTTCATGTTTTCATGCCCTTTTTTTTAATATAAAGCCAATTCATTTGGGACCCACCAAATCTGCTCTTTTTCCTATTCAAACATTGTGTCAAGGTTTTTCTTCTAGAGTATTGGTGTTTTATGTAGAGCCCAGTTCTTTGATACAAGGAAATGAAGTTAGTGCAGTAAATATAGCCCCCGTTTGTCCCCCATTAAAATTATAATTCATTTTTCTCTTTCTTATTATCAATCACACATTCTCTAATAAAATAATATTACACGTAAATTCAAAACTTTTTCTTTTTTTTTTAACCACACATTCTTCAAAAAAATAATATTCCAAAAATTATAATCTTAAATAATGGGGGTCAAACGGGGCCATAGTAACAAATACTCCTAATGAGAGCGTGCCGAGTATTAGCTCCTGTTAAGCTCCCATTCTTTCCAAATTTTAATGATTGGAATAGTGTTTTTTTTTTTTTTTTTAAATGTGTGGTTGAAAAAGAATGAAAAGTTTTTTATTTGCGTGTAATATTATTTTATGGAAGATTGTGTGATTGAAAATAAGAGAAAGAGAAAGAAAAAGAATGAGAAAGAGAATGGGGGCCAAACGGGACTTTAATGTTATGCCATTTTTTATTTTTTATTTTGTAATGGTGGAGCAGGGATGCTTAATAATTTATATTTCTAAAGCTTAAGAATATCTTAAAAATTTATAATGGGAAACTGATTTTTAGACTTGTCCATGCTCTGCATTTTCTTATTTGATCGATAACTGTCAAATGGGGGATTAATGCAGTCCTTCAGAGATCTTTTCAATGCATGGAATTAATTTTTTTCTAGGATCTCATTTTAGAAGCAACATACTGTTATTTAAAGTTAAATAAATTTTGAAAGAGAGAGCTTACCAGTAGTTATTCTGCCACTTTTTCCTTCCCAAGTGGCAGTCCATCCTCCGCATTGATATCCAAGATCATCAGCATGTATTCCGGCAACAAGAATCCTTTCAGCATTCTTGTCCAGCGGAAGAAATGGTTTGTCTGGATTCTTCCCATTCTTTAACAAAACCAAGGACTTGCGAACTGCTTCACGAGCTAATTTTTTATGTAGCTGACACAATTTTCCCCAACATTAGAAGTCTTTTCAAGTCATAGTCATTATATTAGAAGTCCTTTCAAGTCATAGTTAATGTTTTATAGTCCCCTTCTTGTAATAGATGGGCAGGGGCTCAAGTTCATTCCACATATAGTTGGCTCATTAAACCAGAAGGAAAGAAATTAAGACACCACACATAATCATGTAAGATTGGTATATCGAAGCACTTAGTTTGACATAGGCACCAAATCATGCAAGGTAAAACTAACAAAGAAAACAGGGGAAAAAGAGAAGCATAGATGGAGAGAGAGATCATGTCCATGGGTGCATCAATCATTTCCATTTCTTTTAGCCTTTAGGTGAGTTCCCTTGTACGAATATCGAGCGACTCTGCGATATCTCTTGATTTTGGATAAATATGTCTAGGTCAAACATGTTTGAATTGTACTAAACTATAAACATATATTTTTGTTAAACAAAATAGGAATCTTCGATTACGATTTATGATTAATTTTAAACACTTAGTTTTGGGTGATTTCCCATCACATCAAGCTTTTGGTTACCAGAAATTAATGATCCCCAGTTTAGAAGTGTCAATTTGTCCAACCTTCTACAACGAAGAGTATTCCTCAGCCTCTCTTTCAGTTGTACATCGGCTGAGGGGTAGCAAGGAGCTTCAATATAATACTTCAACTTTGCCCAAGAAACGAGAAGAAAATAGAGAAATGAAGGATAAAAATTTCGTAGACACACCATACACCTATTCACTTTAATTTAAACAACAGGAATAACATTTGTCAAAGGAAGGATAAAAATTTCGTAGACACACCATACACCAATTCACTTTGATTTAAACAACAGGAACAAAATTTGTCTCATTCCACTTAATGTAACACCAATTCATTTTAAAATTGTCCTCCTATTTTTCTTTTTCTTTTCTATTTTTATTTTTGTCTTGATATGTGTCTGCTTCTAGCCCAACTATCTATAGCATCAAGTCATTTTTTCAATGAGGTGCACATCTGATAATTTTCTTCTAACATAACCACTCAAGTGCTACTTAAGCATTTAAAGCGTATTCACCTTTTGCTTTATTAGTTCTTGTGTTAGTGCATAACTTAAAAGAAAAGATAACCAATGCTATGGAGATTGTGAACTCACATCACAGCTAACTGTATCCAGTAAAGATCTATTGCTCAGGGGAAATTCAAAGAGGCCAGCAGCAAACTTCACTCTCAGAATTCTTTCAACTGCATCATCAATTCTTGCCATTGATATTTTTTCTGACTTCACCAGATGTGTCAAATCTTCCAAAAATATTTGATATCGAAGAGGAACCATCACCTATAAATCACATAATAACACAGATGAAGGCATAGATTAGGAAATTTCTTGGATTGCCTAAACAACAAGACATCCTCTACCATATCGATTCCTGCATTGATGGCACACAGAACGCTTTGCCGATAGTTTGACCCATGAGGACTAGAAAGCCGGTCAAGGCCTTCAGAATCAGAAATGATAAATCCCTGGAAAAAAATATCCAACTCTAATAAGTATGTGCTGAAATTTTGTTTACTTCTGCAGACTGCAGCATTTAATTTCTGCTTCAAAACAGATGTCAATAGCCTGTACTGTGGTTGTCAAATCACAAAAGATACAGGTAACTAAACAAGGAACACTGCAGAGAATGCCAACCATAAACTAGAAGCTCCCTGTTCAGCATCCCTGAATCCGGATATCGCCTTTGGGCCATTTGTTTTAGCTGTTAAAAGTTTAGCGCCCCCAAACCCATCCCCTGTAAAGATCTATATCTTTTTTTTTATTATTCATGTCAACCTCACGATCTTGCTTAGAGAAGTAACAGAAAGAAAAAGTAGAAACTGAAAGCAGTTAATAAAATCTTTTTTCACTTGTAGTTATGCATTTCTTTATACCCGTGACTCATAACAGCAGAATAGTTTGTAAATATTTTTTCATATACAATTTGAAGTTAAGAATTACCAATTCCGGTGGGAATAGGCTCTGTTACCATGAAAGCAGGTGCTAGGGAGAATAAAATCATATTCTATGTTCACTATTGATTTCCCATAATATTACACAGCTATTCATAGTGTATTACAACCAAACATATAAGCAACTAGTCAAATCAAATCCAGTTTGGGAAACAAAATGTGCTTAAAAATAGGTAATCCACCATAATTTTATCATAAAGAATCTGCTATAATTTAAGAAAGTTGACATTTTTTACAAATTACGACTAAACCCAATCATCCCATACAAATCTTTCCTTGTACCAAACTACACATTCTTCTTGGCTGAATGAGTGCACGGATGTAATAACACAATACTACATGAGCATCACACATGCGTAAAAGATGCATAAGATTGGGCTTATGTATTTCTTAGTGGGAATGAATAACTGTTTGCTGCTGCAAAATAACATTGTAACTTAATTATGTATTTAAAGTGTTCCTTATAATCCTGTTGTCCAATGGTGCTCATGTTAGGCGCCTATGTTAATGTGCTTTTTCTGTTGTAGACTGTACAACAGTCTGATTGGGCTTTGAAAGTGTCAAGTCATGTTCACATGCGCGCACGTGAGCACGAGAAACAATTGTTTCCATACTTTCTTGTTCAGTGATGTGGATAGTGAATGTTCATCTGTGTTAATGACGCCAGTTTCTAGACTATGTTTAGCATGATAATCATAAGAATGATGGTTTGATTTCAAGGAAGAATATGAGATTTAATTTTCTATGGAACTTAATAGCTTTGGCATTTTTAATCTTTATATTTGACCTGATTTTCAGGTGATATGACATACTTTAACTTTTCCATGAACAATAAATGTGTTGCTACATCGTTTCTACATTGTCAGGATATCATTAGCACCAGCCAAAACACAAGCAAGATTTAATATCCACGCAATGCAAAAATAGTATGGGTTTGGGACGTCCCTTGCAAAACTTGCCATCTGCTTACCTTAAATCCAAGCTTCTCTTTCAAGATCTGTGTAAGAAGAAAATGGCTAGTATGTAATTTTGTCCCATTCCAGCTAGAGTAGGACGCCATGATAGTACAAACCCCCTGAGAAATACAATCCAGATAAGGAGCCATGTGGACTCTCTCTAGTTCATCATATGACAATATGGTATCCCCCTCATTCGTGCCTTTTTTAGTGCCACCATCTCCTACAAAATGCTTTGCACATGCAACAACATTTTCTCTGGAGTTAAATACGTTGATCAGTGAAAGAAAAGATAAAGGGAAAGAAATTCAATGTACAAAACAAAGTTGAAGATAAAGAAGACACGGATTGAGGGAAACAAAAGATTTATTGTATGGAAGAACAGAAAAATTGTTAAGCAACCACAAAAAAACACGTTATAACTTACAACTTCAAAAGAATTATAAAGAGTTCTAAATCTACTGGTTGTAGTTCAATTAGTTGAGATGAAAAGGATGAAAAGGATAAACTAATTCTAAAAGTCAAATCACCTTTTTCTACGTTTTTCTTTCCTTCTCAAATTTTATTGAAGAAAAAAGTGATAATTTGTTAATATTAAAATCATAGGACCGATAATTAAAAGCATAGAAACAAATGAATCCAAAACCAAGCAAAACAAATAAGGCACATTACAATTCATATTTTCGATGTGGACCAACAGAAGGATAGTTTAAGTCTTGTCTACCTTCCAGCTACAAATGGGTAACCATTTGGGTGTCCTGGTGGTGGTTTTCCTTGCAAGCCCTCCACTATGGAGGTCATCTTTCTAACTACCTCAGTGTCCTCCCCAAAACTCTCATAGCATCTTCCCCATCTAGGATCTCTACACACCTGTCACAATCATCTGCAAATAACTATCATGCCAGTAATTGTTCAAGACAACAGACCAAGTGCAGTCGACTCAGAACCACAAAAGAGAACGGCCATAACAAACTGTCATGTGCTAAACATAGAACACGGGCTTCAAGCATCTACGACCTAAATTATAACTAATACTATTGATCTTTCAGAGAGAAACTTTAGGAATTTTATTTTCAATATCTCAATTAATGAACTGTCAATGACGAAGAATGAATAACTAACTTCGACTGTCCTTTGTCATTACATTATCACAAAAGTTCAAAGGCATCAATCACAACATTGCCTCTAGCTATAGTGAATTAATCATTCATTTCACTGGAATAACTTATCTATTCCATTACAAAACATATTCTAACATTTAACACTTTTAACTTGAAAATAACTATTTAAATACCAAAAAGACACAGATATTCGGTAACTGTGAATCATAACAACTTACAGCTACACACGGAGCAAAAGTATAGTGAATGCCACTCGCCCTTACTTCAAGAGCTGTGGCAACGCCAATTCTTCGAGCCAAGTCAGCATCTCTGAATAAGTACCGTCATATTGCTTATAATCAGCATTATCAAGCATTTGTAAAATAAAGTGCACCTACACTCCGTATATAGCGAAATCATATAATCAAATCAAAAATTTACCTGGTGGCTCCGAGCCCTATGTTGTGAGGAAAAATGGTGGCACCATAGACATTATTGTTACCGTGCACAGCATCAATCCCATATAGCAGTGGGATTCCAAGCCGCGACTCGAGAGCAGCCTTCTGGTAATTATCTACCATGTCAGCCCAATCCGAAGACTTTGCATTCTCGAACGGCCAACTTCCACCAGCACTCAGTATACTCCCTACGAAACCATCCACCAAAAAAGAAATAAATTCCTGGCTGTAATTCATTACAAAAAGAAAAAAAAAAAGGGTCTAATGCAAGAAATAAAATGTATATATATGTATGTATTAACTATTGTTATAGAGTTTAATACTAAAGTGGACCTATGCAGAGGTCTTTGACGGCTGAAGGGGTGGCGACGCTGAGTTCGATCTGGGTCATCTGACCGATCTTTTCTCGGAGAGACATCCGAGATAGTAGGTCTTTAATTCTGACTTCGATGCTGCAATTTGGGTCCTTGTACATGCAAATCATCGTTTTATCCGTGCTCATGTTTTCCCACAGTTTTTTGCTTTTACAAATTACAAATTTGTAATGAAGTATTTGGATCAGAGATGACAAATGGAGGTTTTATCTGTGAAATGCTTTCCGACATCTTCTTCCTTACAAGGGCAACTTATAATTATCATTTTTAGTACTAATCTTTCGGTTGTTTCAATTTAACCCCCGAACTTACAAGATCGTTTCAGTTTAATAAACCCTCCTCCCTCTTTTGCCTGACTCGATATTGGCTTAGAATCTAGCTCAAACCAAAAAAGAGGCGAAGAGTGGCGCTGCAGCAGTTTGTGAAACTACCCATCTTAAGTAATAGTGGCGCTTCTATATATAGCAACAGCTTCGTCCTTTTCTCGTCTAGATTATCCTGTCCAAGTTTCTCTGATACTTCCTTCTTTAATTTATAATCTGCTCTTGTACCTGTTTAAGGATTGGAAAAAAAGAAGAAATTTCTGAGTAAATTTACTGTTTTTTCAGGTTCCTGTAGCTCTTAGTCGAGTATCATGATTACTTTTGTTTGTGGGCTCAGATTGTCATTTTTCCTTATGCTTTCATGAAATGATTAAAAGTTTTGCAATCTTGGTGCACGTAAGAGGGTATTTAGAAAACATGATTGTTGTACATTTTCAAATGCTTCATAACTTGCTATTTTAAGCACTTTTGTTGTCTGTTTATGATGTTTTTGGGTCATCCTTCTATAAAACTGTTCTATAGTGTTTAAAATTAATATTTATGTTTGTGTCTAAGATGGATTTTTATTACTTTTGTTGCTATAATCAGTGAGACGGGCTAAGGCCTACATGCATCTGTCTTTCCGAAGTTTTGCTACTTCAAATTCAGGGAAGATTCGAGTACAGAGAAAGTAATTACTCTTCTGTGCTGCCTCATTCTCCTCAAAATTTACTCTGTGAAGTAAGGTTTTCATGGTTCAATCTGGCTATCTAATTCTTCATATGGCTGTTTTCTCAGGAAAAAAAGACTTGATGAAGTATGTCTTGAAAGATATCAGCAGTATAGCCGAACATTCATACAATCATGGATTCAGCAAGGTCGGTGATCTTTGTCTTTGGATGCTGACTGTTTGGTTTCTGCCTGTGTCTGAGAACACATATCATGGACATTGTCATTGTGCGTGCATTCAGGATCTCTCTTAAATCATATAATCACACAGAAATACCAAAACTTTTAAGGATATATCGATACTTATCATGGAAATTATGAGCCTTTACCTCCAATACTTTTGATGTAAAGAAAAAGTGAACGAACATAGAGTACTAATACCATGTAACAATCACCTAATGATCCAACTTCAGACCTTTTTACTTTGACAGAATAATGTATTGATACATTTTTAATTGTTCATTATATAATTGGATGCATTTTCTGCAATATATCTACCACTTCAATGTCCCAAGGCCAAGCACTTCCTACTTCTCTCCCTACACTACTTTCTGAACCCGCCTAATCCATGCCTGCAAATGGCAATATTAAGAAATTGGTTCGAGAATGAAGAAGCAGTGAATTACCAAATTGATTCATTGGTTATCAGACTTTGTTGACCAACTGTTCGAATCTAAATTTCAAAAAATGAACATAACAGTCCATAATTTATGCTGCTTATGTTTTTCTGAATATTGGTGATTTCTGTCTTGCTTATACTTTTTTCCTTTGCCAAATCATAAGGTCCTGTACAATCCCCATATTCCTACCTACGTTTTTTCTTCTTTTCTCTTGGTATTGAGCCCGCAGGACTTAAGAGTTTAGCCTGCAAACTTCTTAGATTTTCTGATTTCATACTCAACTTGAGATTTGCTAGGAACTTATGGAACTTTCTCAATTGATGAACATGTGGAAGCTGACTGTTTCTTACACTTTCTTCCTTATACCTTCCAACCATACATCACTATAGGCAAAGTAGTAGTTCATGGAAAAGTGGTAAACAAAGCTGGAACGCCAATCTCTGACAAAGCTGTTGTGGAGATCAAGGCTGAAGTTCCAAAATATGTATGTAGGTGATTACTCTCTGAAAACTACCTATATTGGCTTCCTATATATCATATCAAATTTACGGTTGCTTTGGTGAGCTTAAACAACTATTATGATTTTTCTCTTGATGTGAACTTCAGAGCAGGACACAAGTTAGGGGTGCCATTGAACAACTAGGGATTGATGTTTCTGGAAAGGTAGCTCTTGATTCAGGGTTATCAACTGGAGGATTTACTGATTGCTTACTTCAGCATGGTGCTTCATTTGTTTATGGAGTTGATGTAGGATATGGACAGGTGGGACTTTGGAAATTGTATCTAGTGCTCAGGAACATGTTTTGGTTTACATTCTTTATATATCAATTACCCTGAATAAAGTGAACGCAAAAAGGTTCCAGTTTCTATAATCATATGTAGGGTACGTGTGGTCTATAATGTGTCCTGGGCGTAACACACTGCCTAAACCATACAACAAATAACGAAAAGAGAACTGATTGTTAAGTTTTCCTGTTGATTTTTGTTTTTATATGTAATAAGTCTATGCTAGTTTTTTTTACGTTAGTTTCTTGCTCAATTCAGGATTCAAATGAGGCCTAAAACATTTGATAGATTATGGGTGACTTTAATAAATTCTTGCTTATTAAAAGGCAAAATTAATACAGTTTGAGAATGATGTTATAACACAAAATAAATAAATTAAGCATTTGTAATGGTAGAGGAACTTGAGAAGCTTATGTTTTAGTCGCATAGATATACGTGTGCTGTATCTCCACCACCTTCTAAGTCTGATTGGATTATGATGGAAAAGTCGAGGAAAATGAACACATGAATAAATAGCATAAAGAGATGCATGGTTCTTGTTCTAATAAATTGAGGGTTCTTATCTTTTTAGGTAGCAGACAAAATTCGTCGAGACAATCGCATATCTGTCATAGAACGGACAAATCTAAGATATCTTTCAGAACTCCCACAAATGGTTGATCTGGTCACTTTAGACCTTTCCTTTATTTCCATACTAACAGTAAGTTCTCAAAGAGGATACAATCACTTCTTCTTCCAGCATTTGGTCAAAGTGAGACAATACTACATTCTCATTTATTTCCTCTTATTATCTCTTCTGATAAGTAGTTTATCCATTTTGTCTTTTTCCTTCCACTATGAAGGTCATGCCTGCTGTGATCAGTCTGATGAAAGAAGAAGCTACACTAGTTACTTTGATTAAACCTCAATTTGAGGCTCGCAGATCCCAAGTATGCAATTTTTGCCTTCCATCTTTGGTGTTTGAATGCTTCTTTACATTTTTATTTTATTTATTTTTGTAGTTATAATTGAGAAAAAATACTTGTTCAATTCTCAAGAAATACCTTCAAAGTAATTAAACACTTACAAGTGCTCTTTATAGTCCAAGGCTTATTTGCGACTTTTCAACTAAATAAATAACAGTTCCCTTCTCGTACAAGATTGATCTAAAACTTCCTTTTCATGGTGGAATACGGATTTATTGGGAGGAAATAATGGAAGCTACATGGTTGAGCTCCCTTAATTAAGTGGTTCCTTATTCTGAAAAAACCACCACCTTGATAAAGTCATAAAGAAAAGTAATAATGGCTGATCATGTATATTTTATGGGAAAGCATATTGAGAAGTGATTAATTTAAAAATTAATTGATAAAGTTGTGGATCCTACGGAATGTGGGGAATGAAAAGTATATTTAACCAAGTATATTTAACCAGCTTAGATTACAATTTAATCACTTCCTGAATATGCGCTAACCATGGTTATATTCACCCACATGGACTCCTAAGTGTTTATGCATGTGTATAAATGGTAGCACATTTTTTTTTCTCAACACCTTTGCTATTATTGAGGTATAGTCGTTAAAATCTTGTCATCTTGAACAGTGTGATTATTTGAGTAAACTCGTTAAATTTTCTGTTCAGGTGGGAGGCAGGGGAATTGTGAGAGATCCTTTAGTCCATCAAGAGGTAGTGTTTTCTTTACTTAGTCTTTACTTCACCATCCATATGACTGTCACATATATCCTTTTGTTGTAAAGTAGATGATTGCAATCTTGCTCTTAAAAGCAAAACTGTATACGTTGTGTGAAAACTACACTGATAATTTCAGTACCTGCTGAAGTCTTCAACATCGATTACAGTCGGTGTAAAAGATGGTAAAAACCATCAGCCCAGACTTAACTAAGATAGGCATATTCTTCGTATTAAAGGCCTGGTGTATAGAAAGTAAATATTTTTTCTATGTTTTTTGTTTTTTTTTAATTTTGGTGGGAGCGTTAAAGAAAAATTTCTTAAAATAACTTCTTGGTGAAATTCTAATTTCATTTCTTTTTAAAAATAAATAAGCGTGTTGATGTGAAAGGACCCAATTGTTTCAATTCAGTTTTGTACTTGTTTTCTTTTCTTTTCCTTTATCATAATCCTTTATTGTGGAATTATAGTGTTTGCCAAATATGTTGAGAGAAGGGAAATGAAGATCTTGATATAGTTGCCTGAAAATGTTGAGGAACGAAAGATAGGAAGTACTAAAATCTTCATATTTGTTTCATGTCGTCTTGCTGTATTATCATCTTCAGACAAATCATTGTATAGTAGTAACTGGATGCCTCATTTGTTCATCGTGATAGGTGATTGAGAAGATCATAAGGGGCGTACAAGATCATGAATTTCATTGCAAAGGTTGGATTGAGTCTCCTATTAAGGGAGCTGAAGGAAACAAAAGAATTTCTGGCCTGTTTTAGCCGACTGGCTACCAGAGACATTATTCCAATTTCAAACGTGCCTGAGCACAAAGAAAACTAAACTTTTCCAGGGTTTTAGGCAATCCACAAAATTGGCGACTTGGTAATTGAAGAATATACTAGGAAGTTTGCCTTTTTTTGTACAAAGGTGTGACTAGAGTTCCTTCTCTGCATAAGTATTCTTTTTATATTTCCTGAGCAGTTCCACTTATCAGCCAGAGATGGTAAAACAGTAGCACTAGTACAGTTTACAACAGAGGAGGATGGAATCTTGGAGATATGAAAGTTATAAGCCATTGCATATGAGAACAAAAGGAGCCCCTTTATGGTCTCAAATAGGTGGTGTATTTTAGCAGCCTGCACATGGTCATCCCAGAGAAATGGCCGAGCCGGTTTTGTAGTTTTTACTTTTTACACTTCCATTCGAGGGAAATGGATTCAATAACCTGTTAAAATGTTTACTGACAGTTTTATCTTAACGAAGAAATTGTTTGTATCTATGCATGTTGCATGCATTCAACCCGACAATGTACAAAATGTTGCTGCATCTTTTGTAATGATTCTTCTGTGAAGTGAATAGATCCCAAGTATGAGATGAATTTTTGTTTGTTAAAGATAATTCAAAATAAACTCGTATATAGAAGATGTGCAAACGAAAATTAATGGCAAGAAAATGTATGTCACGCTAAATAGAGATTGCCTCTAAATGTGTGTACAACAGAGTAAATAAAAGATGTACCAAAGTCTAAAAGTCCATGCATAATTTAATGCTTTTGTTTGATGAGTGAATTTCAGATTTTAAGTTTCGTAGAAGATAATTAGAGATTCATGGAGACATATCTAAAAGGTCATTAGAATTGTCTCATAAGACCTACATTGAAAAAGTTTTGGAAAAGTTCAGGATAAGTAATGTGCACGAGTGGAGCACTCATTGTTAAAGGTCATAAATTCACTCTGATGAAATGTGCAATACATGAATACCAAAAAGAACACATGGTTTCGATAACCTATGCTTCCACCATTGACAGCTTGATGTATGCACAAGTCTATATTAGACCTGACATTGCATTCGCAATTGGTCAACTACACAGATATCTGATGAGTGATTTACACTCATTATATTATGTCATTAATTTCATGATTTTGTTATTTTGGAGAGTATTTTAGAAGTGCTAACAAGTGATTTTGGTGTTGTTTTGTAGATTGAAACTATGAAAATTTTCTCGATGCTCTCAATGTTCCGTTCATTGATGCGATACTACAAATTCCAAACTATACGAAATTTTTGAAAGAGATGTTGACAAAGAAAAGAAAGCTTCCAGAGTTTGAAACTGTGGCATTAACTGAGGAAAGTAGTGCAAGAGTTCAGAGAAAATTGCCTCCTAAATTGAAGGATCCAAGGAGTTTTTTTACCAATTTCAATTGGAAATTCCTATTCAATTAATGCATTGTGTGACATTGGTCCTAGTATCAATTTAATGTCATATTCTGCTTACAGAAAATTGGGACTAGGTGAAGTCAACTCAACATCAATAACGCTACAACTAGCTGATAGAACAATCGCAAGGCCACGTGGCAAAGTTGAGGATGTACTCGTAAAAGTAGGAAATTTAACATTTCTTGTGGATTTCATTGTATTGGACATATCAGAAGATCGAGACATTCCAATTATATTGGGTCGACCATTCTTAGCAACAGGATGAACCCTTATTAACATGGAGAAGGGAGAACTAATCTTGAAGGTGGAGGACAAGCAGTACATATTCAATATTTACATCCAATATGAAAAACCTCCCAATAAAAATGATTGCTATAGAATTGATAAAGAAGAGCTACCTGATCAACGAAACTGTCAGAACAAAAAAACAAATGGAGAACTTCTTGGTAGAGAAAAGAATGGACAAATCAAAATTTGGAGAGCAAAAAAGGACTGCATTATTGAAAATTGCACAAAGTGCAATGATGGAATAACTTGGTTTGAGCCACCATGATAATTCAGCGGCACAAGTCAAGCTAATGACTTAAAAGAAGCGATTTTTGGGAGGCAACTCAAGCTTTTATTTTATTTTATTTATTTTGTTTTCAAAGTTCTAGGATAGTTTAATTTATAGTTTATTTAGGAATCATCACCCATACCCCCCTCTACTCATAGGTCTTGGAGTAATTAAGTTGGTTATTAGATGTTTGAGCTAAGTAATCCTTGTTCCATGAGTTTAATTTTTCAAATTTAATTTTTCAGAAACATGACGTCGTGGAACACTCAAACCAACATGGATATGGAGAAAATGGGATAAATCTCAAGTTTGGGGGGAAATGTAGAAGAAGGGTCGATCAAATGCAACACCAAGACACCACAACATTATAGGCAATACTGACATTTCATGGAAGTCCTCCTCCTTTTTCTTTAAATTTTACATTAAGGACAATGTTTCAGTTAAGTTTGAGAGAGTGACATCATTTGCTTACATTGTTGAGTTTCTCGAATGTTTATGTGTGATTTGCTTGTTTTATGTGTTTGTGTTTTTATTAAAAAGAAAAAAAGAACAAAAAATTCATTTCGTGTTTTTGCATGCTTGTGTGTATTAGATAACCTTGCCGGTGATATGTGTAATTGAGAAAATGCCTTGATTTATGAATTGTGGACGAGTTATGTGTTTGAGTTAGATTTTTGCTTATTCATGTGAAACGAAGATTATTTTTTGCACGTGAGTTGATTGTAACGTTGTGTATGAGGAGGTTGATTCACGTTTATAGGTTGAAATAGAGAACTTAGATGCTAAACCCAAACAACCATTAAAATTTTCAATACCCTTAAACCAAACTTAAGACATTTAGATGATTGCACTGTTGTAGGGAAATTTGGAGATAAATGTGGATTTCGTGTGTGTTAATTTTTGTGTGGATTGTCTGAGACCAATATGATGAACATTGGGTGAAAACCTTAAGTTAGAGGTCAATTTTCGAGGATAGGTGTTTAATAAGGGGTATTGCACTAATCACCGCATAAAAAAAAGATCACAATGAGGACAACTTTAATAATCTCATTGTGAATCATCTTTTCGTAGCCTTTATGACTCGAGTGATTAAACCTGTAAGGGTTTAAAATATGGTGCCCTAAAGTCATCTGATTTGGGAGTCATCGGCCTAAAACTCGCAGGGGTTATTTAGAAAGTTTAAGGAAGAGACATCCGCACAAAGAGTGATTAAAGAATGAAGATATATATGAAAAAAAAAGAGAAAAAAATAGATATCAAATGCCTTGATTAAGCCCCGAACACTTGTTTTAGAGGATTACACCTTTGATAAGGAGTTAGTAACTTGGTTGATTCCTAGAGGTTGAAGCAGTCAAAAATAAGGAGAATTCTCATTTGTTGACATGTGGAACTACAATCAGTAAAATCTAACCAAATTTGAGTGGTGTAAGAAATTAGTATTGAAAATTTAACATTAGGTTACACCCTTGAAAAGAGAAAAGAAAATAAGTTTGGGGGTGTGTGAATCCTACGAGTAAAGTAAGGAAAAATTTGACTTCTAAGGTCGGGAATTGGGTCAACTTATTATTGTACAGCGTTGCACTTGACTCTCTCCACACACACACCCATTTTGCATTGAATATGTGAGAATTTAGGTTTTGCATTATAACTTTGAAGTGGTTCATGGAATCGAAGTTGTGTTTTTAATCCTGAGACATGAAGGCAAGCTATCTAACGAAATTTATTTTAAGTGATTTTGTTTGTCTTAGTTGCACTTGTGTGTCCATTAATTATTTTATGGGTTTTGGTGTTTGCTCGAGGACAAGCAAAAGATTAAGTTTGGGGGTGTTTGATGAGTGATTTACACTCATTATATTATGCCATTAATTTCATGATTTTGCTATCTTGAAGAGTATTTTAGAAGTGCTAACAAGTGATTTTGGTATTGTTTTGTAGATTGATGGAAGTAGAAAAAAACAAGAGCTAAAAGAGGTCAAAGGAAGGAAATAGGCAAAAGCTAGCGAAATTGGATGAAATTACCAAAATGTAAGAGATCCAAAGTTCGAGAATTAAAATGCAATTAATCAAAAGTCGTGTTGAAACTTGAAATGAAGATCCGAGAGTTCTAGAAGCCAATTGGATGAAGGAAGGTGTCAAAGGGATCAAATTTAGTCAAGATATGATCATAAATCATTTTCCAACCAAAAAATTCTGCACCGGGTTTTTAGCCTCATATTGAGACTCATTTTTTTTACATAGCAAACAATCAAATTAGAGAATAATATCTGAAGTAAAGTTGTAGCCCTTTGAGTTACCTTTCCAACGCATCTTGAATCGCCTCAATCGGATATCGGGAGAAAGAATTATGATAAAAATACTAAAAACTGTGCAGTGCAACCGAAGTAGTCCTCAGCGCCCAGGCGCCATGATGCTGAAATTTTGACAAAAAGTAAGCGCCCAGGCGCCGCCGTGCGGGAGTAATTTTTTGGGTTTTACCATTCTTTCTCGGCCCAACTCATCTCCAAATCTTTCCCTAAACTCCAAGAGATTATAAATACACAATTGAAGACCTAAATTAGGAAGGAGCCGCATACTAAAAATCTGTGGGATCAAGCCACGTTCTTGACATATTGGAGTGAAGACAACAATAAGGGGGATTCAAAAGAGAAATTCAAGAATATTAACACCAAGAATTGAAGATTAGAAGCATTCATTGGAAGAGGAAGGAGATCTTGGTGCAAGAATTCTACTTTTCTTCTACATCTTTATTACAAACTCGGTGATGTATTCTAAGACAAATTCCTACTTTTCTTCTTGTATTATGAGTAGCTAAATTCATTGTTATGGGGAATAATATAACCAATTGAGATCTTTTACATTTTCTTATTAAGACTTTCAATTTTTAATTCTTCCACGCGTTGATTTTGTTATGAGTTGAATGCATTAAATTATCTGATCAATAATTTGATGAATTTTGTGAATTCTTTACTTATAGATATATGAGTTTAGGATTTAAATCATGTAGTAAAATTCAGTACATTGTTACAACACATAGAGATACCTATACCATTTATTGCGGTCATAATTAAATTCCTAAGACATAGAACTCATTTAAGTAAGTTGAATTTGCATAGAGATATGAAATTTATTTAGTTGAATAGGTTCAATGAGAACTCGAGAGGGATAAATTGAATATAATAAGAGAATTCGACCGAGCACTACATTAGAATTGGATTTTAATTTGAGATGTAAAGGTGATCAATTGGTGAAGTTATTCTACCCTAACATCCATTCATTATTTGATTCTCCAACCAATCGTGTGAACATTCATTTATTTTCTAGAATTTAGATTAAAACCTAGATTCTACAACCTTTAATTTGTTTTACTCAAATAGTAGTTAAAGAAAAATTGAATTAAGTATTAGAAAATAGTCCTTGTGGGATCGACAATCAGGACTCTTAGGTCCACTATTACTTGTTACGGGTCGAACACTTGCAAAACAAAATTTTACAACAATATCCAAGTAATTCGGGTATAGAACATTGA